GGTCACAGCAGAGAAGCACGCCCAGGCAAGCGTGGAGTAGGAAGTGAGAAGCTTTATTAAAGGACAGTGCAGCAGGCTTCTCCCACGTGGAAGAAGGGGACCCAAAGGCAGAATCCGTGGAATGAGGAAGTCCTGTCCCTTTTATGTGTCTGAAGTCCCCCTGTTCTCCTGCATTCTTCTCCCTTATCTTGTTCATTTCCCCTCATCCTGCACAGAGGCTGGGGATGTGGTGGGATGGCCAGGGGGTGAGCAGGTGGCCTGGAAGGGCCAGGTGGAGTGCTGGACAGGAAGGGAGCAGAAGCCCAGGGCTTTGATGGGCAGCTCCCTGTCTGCTCAGGAGTTGCTTAAAACAATTCTTTTGGGAGGGGGAGTATCGAAGGGCTCTGGAGACATGAGCCTTCCATTCTCCCAGGGGCTGTTTCCCATTTGCTTGGCTCTAATCAGACTCCTGTTTTTCCATCTGGCCGACTGGATTCATCCAGCTACACCAACTGCCTGTCTTTAAATCTGGCTTCAAGAGGAGCCCTTGGACTTGGACTTTTGAGCAATTCTGTTAAGGCTACTGGGACTCCTAGAGATGGACTGAATGCATTTTGCATTTTGAGGTAGCTATGAGCTTAGGGGATTGTGGGGGGACGTCAGGGCTTGGATCTGGAATTTCTCCCAAGAGCTCGTGGGTTGGAAACATGATCCCTAGTGCAATGAGGTTCAAAGGCGAGGCTTGCAGGCGATGACCGGATGGGACATCTTTAACCACCATTGATAACTGCATGTGGACTGGGGGGAGGTGGGACTGAGTTGGGAGAGGAGGGGCACCCTCTGGAAGGGTTATCTCCCCCCAGCTTTTCCCTCTCCTTCCTGGGTTCACGAGCTGGGAAGCTTTGTGCCAACCTCTTCTGCAGAGCTGAGCCAGCTCCAAGGGGAGGATGGACCCTTCATGGCTGCACCCTCTGAAGTGGTGAGCCGAGACAAACCCTTCCGCCTCCGAGTTTTTCTAGTCAGGTATTTTGGTCACGGTGAAGAAAATCTGACTGACACACGGGCCTAACTAGGGCACACTGACACTGGGCCTAACTGAAAGCACATTGGTGACTCACACTCAGCAAGTTTGGGTTGAAGGGACAGGGGCTAGCACCGAGGACTTTCAGAATTGGCAAGTTCTTGTGTTGACACCTCTCAAAAGCCCCTCTCCTTCCCCAACCGCTCCTCTTTCTGCAAGGCTGTCTTCAAAACTCCCCTGGCTGGAACCCAGGAACCTTTGGCCCTCTTGTGGTGGGAGGCCCCCTATAGAAACTCCTGGGAACCCTGGCCCCATTGGGCATCATAAAAGGTAGGAGAGGCAAGCACAGGCCCTCCTCCAAGGGTCGGGGGGTGGAGCCAACAACAGAGTCCAAAAGGCCAGGAAGACCCCTCCTGGCCAGAGGTTGCCAGCTCAGCCCACAGGTCAGGCACCCCAGACGGGCCCACTGAGAGGCAGCTTGGCTTCTGGAAACTGGTGGACGTGACTTGCCATAGTGACAAATCTACAGAGACAAACCCCACGCTCAGCAGCACAGAGGCAGAGTGGGCAGCTTGTCAAGTTTGGACGACACGAGCGTCTTCAAGAATAATGACCGACAGGCCTGCGTGGCGCACCCTGTAATCCCAGCGGCTCAGGAGGCTGAGGCAGGAGCATTGCAAGTCCAAAGCCAGCCTCTGCTACTTAGTGAGACCCGGTCTCAAAATAAAAAAGGGCTGGGGATGTGGCTCAGGGCCCCCGAGTTCAATCCTCAGTACCAAAAAAAAAAAAAAATAAGAATAAGAATGACGACTGACAGAGATGCACAGAGTGTGTTAAATCCACGGGTCCCACACATCCGCATCCTCAGGGCACCACACATGACAGCCAAGAAGCCACACCGTGTCCAGCAGAGAAGCAAAGGTCGGTGCACACAGTGGACCACCGTGCAGCCTTGACAAGGAGGGGCTCTGATACCTGCTGCAGCAGGCAAGGACCTCGAGGACACAGTGCTGACTGAAAGAAGCCATCGCAGGTGGGTGGACAGCGGGCAGCGCTGCTCAAGACGAGGTTGGAGCAGCCAGTGCCACGCAGCCGCAGAGCGAGAGGCCTGGCCCTGGCAGGGCAGGGCAGGAGCCGGGTGTGCTGGGCTGTTTCAGTGTGGCCAGGCCACCACGTCCTGGAGACAGCGGCTGTCCTGTGAGTGTGCGAAGGCCACCCAGCCATTCACTTGGAAGTGGATGAGCCGTCACTGCTGGGGCGAGCACACTTCACCACACAGAGGAAAAATCTGTGAGTCTAGAGAGAAAAATAAATGAAGCCAGGGCTTTGCCACCCCCGGAGGAGGCCATGGCGCCGAAGGGGGAAGTGCACCTCCCCCACTGGGAGGGGAGCCCTCGCCACATGAAGCAGCTGGGCACAGAGGGTGATGTCACTGGAAATCACCTCCTGTCAAGCCCCAGATGGGGCTCTTGTTAGAAGCGGAAGGCGGAGCGCCCCAGACAGGCTGGTGGGGGCAGGAGGCTGTGCCCTCTCGCTGCCCTGGGCACCTGGGCTCCCCAAGGCGCAGGCCCAGGGGCATGGCAGTCGGTGGCGTGTGGTGGACCCTGGTGGATGTGGTGTGCGTGGCAGACCCCTCGAGGGTCCCAGCTCCTGGTGGGTGCTACCTGAAGGCTGAGGTGAGTGGTGCCTTGGACACGCACGTGATGGCATGTGGGCTTTCGAGGATCTTGGGATTCTGCTGCGCCCACACGAGACCACAGAGACTGCTGCTCAGGGTGCCTGCGAGGGGGCGAGGCTGGGGCCTCATGGCCATGCGCCTGGGTGGGCAGAGACCCACACAACTGGGGGAACCCCAGGGCCCAGCCTTGAGCACATCCCGGTGTGCGTGTCTCCTGGAGCAGTGCTGGCTGCAGAGCTGTCCTGGAGATGTCCCTGGACACACTCCTTCTCATGACCTCATGGCTGGAAGAGCCAGGACTGTGCCAGGCTTGGGCAACGGAGGGGCTGCACCCCAAGCCCGGAGGCAGCCCTCTGTGCAGAGAGGTCGGGGACGGGTGGGTGACGCTGGCAGGCCTGGTGTCTTCCAGGGAAACTGGGCCAAGGAAGCCCATGCCCATCAGTGAAGGCAGCTTCCCAGGTGGCCCCTGACCCCCAACTCCCGGTCGCCACACGGCCTGTTGGGGAGAAGCCCCCAGCAGAGCCCTGTACCTGCAGGCTGCCCTAGGAAGGTGGCAGAGGGAGGGCTGGGCGTCTTTGGCAGGCACCCATGGGTGTTCCTGGTGAGCGGGAAGCGTCTGCTCCTGTGCTGCAGAGGACCTGGCCTCCCTCTCTCCAGGCCCAGGTGCGGCGGGTGCTGCCTTGTCTCCCTGGGACAACGCTGGGAGGTGTGGCACCACCTGGATGGAGCTGCCTGGCTGCATTGTTCCTTGGCCCCCGGTGTCTGTCCCTGGGTCCCGGCTCATCTCCTGAGAGAAGGTATGGCTTGCTGGGGATGCTGTCAAAGCAGACAGGAGGGTCTGGAGCCGTTTCCTGATTCCCCTGTCCCAAGGAAAGTGAGGGGCGTGCTGTCATGGCCAGGAGATAACGCCCCAGCCTGTCAGCCAACCCCGACTCAGCTCCGCTTTGTGGTTAAGGGAGTTTCGGAGTGAACATGCTCAGACCCCTCTACTTCCTGAAATGTCAGGGGGCCTGTAGAGAGGGCACACAGAGCCGCGGCAGGATGGGCCTGGGTAAGTCACTGTCCTGGGTGTGCTGGGAGGGTCCTGGGGGGCTGGCCCAGGAGAGGGCCTGAGAGAAGGCTGCCTGTGTGCTGGAACAAAGGTGGGGCTTGCTGAAGGCTCTTAACCTGAGGCCTGTCCCCAAGATAGGACTTAGGGGCACTGTGCCCACCAAGAACATCTGTCACATTGGTGTCCTCATCTGCCCCCATTCTCTCTAGAGATCCTTACGTGGCTGTTGGCGCAGATGCCAGGCAAGGCTGGACTTCCTCTCCCCTCTCCTGGCCTGCGTGCTTGCCATCCCCCTGGGGCAGCATGGTTTGTGGACATGGGGCTCCTTCCTCCAGGGTGGCCTAGGCTGAAAGGCACTGCATAAGGAGGGACTGCAGGACAGTAGGGACTCTTTTGGAGTGGACGGTGGTCTGGCCAATCATGGGGCAAGATCCTGTGGCTGGTGGCTCACAGGTCTCTCAGGCTAGGTATCCCAAGCACCTGGCACAGCAGGGGCTCCGTAAATTCTGCTGGGCCCAGGCTGGGCACACCCCCCCGAGGGGCTGGGCTGACCACTGAGGACTGGAGAATGAGGCTGAGCAGTGGTTTCCAGCATCGCCATCCAGGATGGATAATGCCGTGCGTTAGGGCCAGGCCCAGCCAAGGCTGAGAGGTGTTGGACAGCTGGCAGCTGTGTGGGAGGCCCACTCACCAGCAGTCCAACCAAAGAGAATGTGTGTCAGAGACGATGGTCTTACCTTACCGCACTGGGAAGGATGGCAACGCGGCTTCGGCTGGGCAGGAAGTCAGCCCCAGCTCCTCCTGGAGAGCCCGTGACTGATTCTGGTGAGCCTGCAGTTCTGGCCTGAGCACATCCTGATGTGGGGACCGAATCCAGGGTAGGTTCTCAAAGAAGGATGTGGGAGGAGGACGGTGGAGACAGCCGCAGTACCCTGCTGTGGCGAGGGGTGTGAGCCTGGAGGGGGACCCACCAAACCCGTCAGCCTCAGAGGCCCAGCAGCCCAGGCTGGGAGTCCCTGAAGCCCCAGCCAGGGTGGGTGGGAAGCATGGGGCAGGGACGGCCACGGATGTATGAAGAGCTCTGTGATGGACAGGCGAGGAGCACATTCTAAAACCCAGGGGCTGTAGGCAGGTGCCGGGTGGTGCTGGGCGGCCGAGGCTGGCTGCGGCTGGTCTTACTCCTGACCCTGGCGCCTGGCATTTCCAGGGACTGGGCAAGCTCCTCCCTGGGAGAGTGGGCAGAAAGCCAGTGGCAGCTGCCCCGGGGGTGTGAGCTGAGGGTGGGGACGGGCCCTGGGAAGGTAGCTGGAGGCACGAAAGGAGAAGTCAGGTGGAGGGCACCGGCAGGGCGCAAGGGGAAGGTGTGGTTTGAAGATGGCGGTTTACAGCGGGGGCTGGGGAGACTAGCAGTGTCTGCGGCCTGGGATGCCCGGAGCTTGCTTGGGAGCAGGTGGAAGAGACAGGACTGATCCGTGCCTGCCTGTTCAGGACTGTGACTGCGGTCCCTAGGCCACATCCCAGGGTCCAGCTGAGCTGCTCTGTACCTAGCCTCCACAGTTTCCCCAGGAACATGGGGCCACCATGGGCACATGGCCTGGGACCGTGAGGGTGACGTGAGCCTGTTGGTACTATGGGCCTTGAGGGCATTGCTGACCCATGGATGCTCCTGGGCATGGGGTGGGGGGCATCCCCCATGGGGAGGACCCTGCTGCCATGTCAAGGCCCTTGCCCCAGCTGAGTCAGAGCCCCAGAGATGGGACCAGATGGCCAGGGCAGGCGAGGCCAGCAGCCACTATGCACGGCCTGGCCTGACTCCTGCCCTGCTGGAGGGCCACATCTGCTTCTAAAAGTGGAGCAGCAAGGGACCCCCTCACCCGGCCCTGGTCCTCCTGATGCACACAAAGCCAAGGGGCAGGAGGGGCCCTGCCCAGGGGCACCCTTCCTGGGAGAAGCCTGTGTCCTGGAGGTTGGGGCTGCTTGCCCCTTACCTCTCCTCGTGGGAGACAGCCCTGCTGCTCCAGAGATGGCCACATGGCACCTGAGCTTCCCGACAGGGAGCCCCTGCAGTCCAGCAGGTGAGAGGGCCCTGCACAGGCTCACCTGAGCGGGGAGGAGACTCAGGGGAAGCAGGAAGCGGCTAGGAGCAGCACGGAGGGTGGGAGTGGCAGTGTCCAGGCCTGGACCCTGCCTGGCCTGAGGCTGTGCGCCTGTGGGGCAGGAGCACCCCGACAAAGCCTGGGCAGGGCCCACTCTGAGAAGCAAAGGCTGGGGACTGGTGTGCAGGGCAGGGCTGGAGGCAGCTCTGGGCAGGTGCCCGGCGGCCATGGGAGGAGTCCAGCCCAGGGCTGGGGTTCAGTCCCGTGGGCCCGCAGCCTCCCTTCAGCTGCCCCAGCACCAGCTGCCCCCTCCTGGTGTCACCACCTGCCCCCTTGCTGTGGTCCAGGGAAACCCGTGGAGCCCAGAGGTCAGACAGGCCCCAGATCTGGACCACAGTGCCCTGCAGTGCCTGGCTGCGCTGTCCAGGCTGTGCCTCCGTAGGCAGGCAGGGGCCCAGAGAAGCCTCTCGGTAACAGAGGTCGTCCCGCCGGCTGCTGGACAGGAGGCCAGCCTCGCAGGAGGGAAGCATCTCTCAGGTTCCCTATGGGCCCTCACTCCCGTGGCCTTTGTGAGCCTGGGTGTGGAGCGGCCCTCCCTCCCTCCGCTCTAGGGACCAGTGCTTGGGCTAGCCCTGCAGGGGAGGGCTGGTGTCTGATGCCGACCCGGGGCCTCCACTCTGTCTGATGTGTGTGGCCTCATGAAGCTGCCCTACTGCTCTGTAAGGACATGCTCCTCTTGTGTCCCTCAAATTCTGGAAGGAGAGAGAGGCTCACAGCATTGGGCAAGAGATGAGGTACAAGAGTGCAACCTGCCACCCAGGGCTGGGCCCGGGAGGAAGCAGGCCACAGGTGGGGTGGCTGTCCTCCCTGGTCCTGGACAGGTGGGCACTCATCCCGTCAGCCCCTCTCTTGGGGGCCCTGGCCCACGTGGCCACCTCGCCAGCTGGAAAGCACCTCCTTGACCCTCCTTGGTGGGGAGCACCACTTCCGTGCCCTGGACTCCCTCTGTTTAGAGAGTGGCCAGAAAGCCCTGCTTCTCTCACGAGGCTTTGGTACAGCAGCAGATGACCCCAGGTGGCTAGCTGGGGACGGCAGAGAGGGCAGAGCCCCGCACACAGTGCACTCCCCTGGGCATCTTCCACCACAGCATGCAGAGCTCAGTGCAGGAGGACCTGAAGTCCCCTAGTAGTGTCCCGGCAGGTCACTATGAGGGTCCTCGTCCCCTTCACACTGGGAAACAGGCTGCTGGCCGAGACCCAGGAATGGAGACTGAGGGAGTGGGTAGCCTGCCTGCTGCTGCCACCAGCCACACCTGGGAAAGGCCTTCCTGGATTCTGTCTGGCTTGGACTTCTCGCTTGGTCATGTACGTGGAGAGGTTGCCTTGACTCTTCACACACTGAGCAATTTCCTGTGGCCTCAGGTGAACGGCTCAGCTTCCTGTTACCTCCAGCTTCTAGAAACATACTTGAAAAAGGAAGGCAGGGTGCTCAGGAGCTGAGCCAGCCATGAGCTGGGGTCTTGGTACATGTGGCCCTGGCCGGGGTCCTGGTGTGTGTGTCCCTGCAGTCCTGGTTTCCTGGTGGCTGCGGCCTGCTTACTTGGCCTACCTCTGTAAGGCTCTGTGCCTGACCCAGTGCTGTCCCTGGTGGTGGTGGGTTCGAGCCACAGTAGGTGGAGTGGGGGCCCCTGAGTTGACCTCTGCGTACCCAGCCTCCGCTCCTCTGTGGAGGACTGAGACACACATGTACCCGAGCCAGAGGGCCCAGGCTGCCTCTGAGGTCCCAGGACTCCAGTGGGCCTCCCTGACACCCTGGAGTGAGCCTGGGCTGGGCGGGTCCTCCCTGACTCCCTGGAGTGGGCCTGGCTCTGTTTCCCTCAGACCCTCTGCCTCGTCATCACGGGGCCTCTTTGGGGGCTGTCCCTGTTAGTGAGGGATGCAGAGAAGCAGGTCCCCTGGAGCCTGCTGCCCACCTCCCATGCCCTCTGTCTGAGGACACTGTTCTCAGGGGTCCCTGTCAGGGTCCTCATCCCCTTCACACTGGGCAACAGGCTGTGACACAGCTTCTGGGTCACATGCACTCGATGCCGTGGGTCACTCCTGGTGAGGACTACTCCAGACAGAATCTGATAGGTTAGAAGGAAGCACAGGGCTGGGAATGCAGTTCCGTGGCAGAACTTTGGGGTGTGTGGAGCCCTGGGTTTGATGTCCAGCGCTGACAACAGAAAACAAGAAGGCCCAAGGGAAAGACTTAAGATGTTTGGAAACATACTGACGATGGTTGAGACTCCCCTCAATCCCCACTACATCGCCTTCCTCCTTATTCTCCATGACACTGAGAATTCAAACTCCTTTTTTATGATGTACATCGTGATGTTCACTGGCTTTAGTAATTCTATTAGGTTTCCTGTTGTTG